GAGGTTTTCCATGTCCCAGCTTGCCACTGATATTTTCCAGGGCAGTTTTACAGAGTCTCCCTGGCCACTACGTCCTCCCTACTCTCATCTGAAGCAACACCAGTATTAAGTAGCATTAGGGCACACTATCTCATCTTGGATCAGACTAAACCATACCAAAAGACTGTTCTTTAAAAGTATTTTAAAACACTGTTTTCTCTCTCTGTCAGCAAATTCAAGACACTCTAATGACCACAACAGAGGTGGGGGGGGGGAGAGAGAGACAGAGACAGAGAGGGAGAGAAACAGAGACAGAAGGAGACAGAGACAGAGAGAGAGAAGAGAGAGAGAGAAAGGAGAGGACAGCAGAGGAGAGGAGAGAAGAGAGAGAGAGGGGAGAGAGGGAGAGAGACAGAGAGAGAGAGAAACAGAGACAGAGGGAGACAGAGAGAGAGAAACAGAGAGAGAGGAGAGAGAGAGAGAAAGGAGAGGAGAGCAGAGGAGAGGAGAGAAGAGAGAGAGGGGAGGGAGAGGGAGAGAGAGAGAGAAAGAGAGAGAGAGAGAGAGAGAGACAGAAAGGAGAGGAGAGCAGAGGAGAGGAGAGAAGAGAGAGAGGGAGAGAGAGAGAGAAAGGAGAGGAGAGCAGAGGAGAGGAAAGAAGAGAGAGAGGGGGGAGAGAGGGAGAGAGACAGAGAGAGAAAGAGAGAGAGAGACAGAGACAGAGAGAGACAGAGACAGAGACAGAGAGAGAGACAGAGACAGAGAGAGAGAGAGAGGAAGGACAGAGACAGAGAACAGAGGAAAAAGGGGAGAGACAGAGGGGACGGGGGGAGCCAGAGAAGCATCATGAATAGGGAGTCTTGTGATCCTGGGAGCCTGAGGAAATAGTGCAAGAGTGACCTAATGGCAAAATACAAATCTTATCAACTGGGATCCTTGGAAAAATACCCCATCTCCCTCCCTCCAAGTCCCTCTGATCCATCCCCTTGTGATCTCCTAAGGATCAAGGGCCAACCACAAGCACAAAGATAGCAAAATGGTAACAAGCCACAGTAGATTAACCCATATGGACTTTTAAAAAATGACTGGACTTTTATAGGTCCCCCAGTGTGCCTGAGCGAAGCAGTGAGTCACTGGGTTCTGGTGTTCTCTCCGGAGATGGATGAGGGTGCTCAGGGTAGCTGCTGCCATCCTGGGGCTGACTGCTGGCGACACTGAGGAGGCCACCCTCTACTGCTGGGTTGCAGCTCGCCGTGCTCCCGGCCCGGGAACGGTAGGGGGGCAGCTCTGTCTGACTCAAGGAGTCACCTTCCGAAGAATAAGGGGGAGGAGGGAGGTCGAACCATGGGGGTCTGCTGTAAACAGGAGAAGAAGAGGAAGAAGGAAGAGAAGGGCGGGAGGAAGACTAAATCAGAGACTGTGGTACCGGCAACAGCATGCTCCTCTTTGGAAGCATTCATTTCAAGCTGTCCTAAATGGAGAAATAGGGGACCCTCTACTAACTCCTTTTAAGACTCAGCTGAGGGGGCAGCTAGGTGGCACAGTGGATATAGCACCGGCCCTGGATTCAGGAGAACCTGAGTTCAAATCTGGCCTCAGACACATAACACATACTAGCTGTGTGACCCTGGGCAAGTCACTTAACCCCATTGCCTAGCCAAAAAAATAAATAAATAAACAACCAAACAACCACCCAAACAAACAAACAATAAATAAATAAATAAAATAAAGACTCGGCTCAATTGCCACCTTCTGCAGAGGCCTTCCAAGCCCCCCCGCTCCGGTCACTTGAGCCTTTCCTTGTAAGGTTACCTTCCTTCTACTCTGTTTGTATCTTGAATATATCTAGTAACTGACATACTATCTCCCCAGGAGACTGCAAGCTCCCTGAGGGCAAGCCCAGCCTGACACGTAGTAAGAGCTTAATTGATACTTGTCGATTGATCTTTCCTTATGGAAAAGATGATCCCAAGGATCGTTTCGTTACAGCTGTTTGGAAACACTACAACTCAGGCAACAGAGGAGGATATTCTGTCCTGTCTCCTTATGGTTTTTCAGGCAGGGCCAAAACCACATCCTCTGAATGATGTAATTCAACAGGGATATGACCTCTCCCATTAAACTCAGGCTCTCAAGACATAATTCCCTCACTGTGAAATGGAGGGGCCACCTAGCAAGAGCATCTCAGGCACGGCTAGAATTTAGGTGATGGGACCAAAGACCGGCTGTTCTATTGTTCTACCCTCTTGTCACAGGGCCGTTGTTGTGTAATCCACAGGACAGGGAGGATGGCGCTGCCCAAGAAGGAAGCCAAGTCTCAGCTTCCACGTCTTGCTAAGATTGGTATGAAGTGCAATCTTAATAAAAGGCCCAACATCTTTGTTTCCAGTCATTATTCATATAGAGAAGCCCTACACTCTGAGGGGAGGGATGCCAACCACCTTTGATGTAAGCCTGCAGAAATAATGTCATGTTATGGATGTTGAAGTTTGGGCTCAGAGAGAAAAGAACAATGGGTACAGCATCTAGGACCACAGATTTAGAGTTGGGAAGGACATCAGATGTCATCTGTTTCAACTACCTCATTTATAGATGAGGCACTTGAGGACTGGAGAAGGCAAGTGATTTGCTTGGGGTCACAGTATAATGAACAGCTGAGCTGGCTACTTTCGGTTCTCCAATGAGTCACTTAACCTGTCTGGGTCAAGATTTCCCTACATGTAAAATGAGATGGCTAGACTAGATGATATCTGAGGTCTCTTCTGGCTTTTAATGCTAAGAACATACGAATTCTTCTTTCTACTTGATGCCTGTGTGACCTTGGACAAGTCACTTAACCATGAGCTTCCGTTTCCTCATCAATGAATTAGGGAATTGGGCGAGATGATGTCTGAGGTCCCTTCCAGTTCCAAATTTATGATCCTAAATACATAGGGTCATAATCCCAGAGCTGGAAGGGATAATCCTTAGATTAATCATAATTAATCTAGACTAATTAATTAATTAGTCTAGATTAAACATAATCCCTTAGAAGACCATCCAGTACAATCCCTTTGCATTCCAAATAAGGGAAACTGAGATTAACCCATATTAAACTCAGGTTTGATTTGAATTTAGTTAAACTGAGATGAACACATACGGACTTTTTAGGAAAAATGACTGGATTTTTATAGGTTCCTCCATTGTGCCCGAGCTGAGTAGTGAACCTCTTGACTCCGTGAGATTAACCCATATGAAATTAATTATTATTATTACTACTGTTGTTATTATGTTACATAATTAATTGAGATTAAATGACTTGCTGTAGGTCACAAAGATAGTGAGAGGTCCAGGTTTCAAACCCAGGTTCTCTGACTTCAGATCCAGTGGTCAATTCTCCGTAGCATTTGGGCCAATTTCCTCACCTATAAAATGAGAATGGCTGACCATTATGGTCCCTTCCATTTTTCAGTCCTATTACAATGGATTGGTTTTATATCATTACATTATGATACATAATTATTTATTGAACAATTAGTTCGTTCTCCTATTCTCTTGTTACTAATGTGTGAGCTCACAAAGATAGAGGCAGTGTGAATAGCGAATGGAGCGCTGGACTTGGAAGACCTGGATCCAAAGCCTACCTTGCTTGTACAAGCACTGTGATTTGGGCAACTTCCCTGCATCTTGGTTTTCCCATCTGGATAATGAGGGGGGTTAGACTCAATTGTCTCTAAGATCCCCTTCACACTCGATATCTATGATACTCCAGGGGAGTTGGATGGCTCCAGTGTCTAGGAGCGATGTCCTTCTAGATAGGGAAACTAAGACAAAGAAACGGCCAATGGCATTTCCTACACCAATGAAATCTCAGGATTAGACTAAAAATGAGAAGTCAGGCTTCAGCTGTGAGTGCGAGTAGATGGACTATGTTTTCTGAGATACCCACCTTTGGTCCAGCACAGCTTCTGAATAGGAGGGAGGGGATTCCAAGTCCAGGGAATTGTGGTAGACCTGATTGGACACATACTGGATGCCATTGTTGACATTGTAGGTGACGCTGCAGCGATGTGGGTGGTCGAGAACGACGAGGCGGGACAGAAGCACGGGATGCTGCAGCCTGTGCACGGGCAGCGTCATCAGGTTGTTTCTTTTCCGCTGGTGATGCAGCACGAGGGCGAGGAGGGCCACCACCAGCACGAAGATGACGGAGCTGCCGATGATGGCATAGGTGATGCTGGGGTAGTAGAGCAGCTGGTTCTCCGGCGTCACGTAGACCTGCCCGCTGCCTGCCTCTGCCACCGGGGAGAGGAGCCACGACAAAAGCAAAAGGACTGTTAGTGGCCCGTCGTAAGATGGTTACCCGCAGCAGGAACGTTAGACTGTGTTAAAAGCCTGCTGCAGTATAGAGCTCAAAGCTCTTTCTTTATTCCCCGGGATGCACGCCTTCTCTGCAAAGCATTCCACGGAGGCCTTGGAGATGAAAAAGCCCAGCTCTTTCTTTCCCTGTCCTGCTCTGGTTCCCAATCCCAGCACTTTCATGTCATCACTGTGGGGGTGAGAAGAATCAAGCATTTATTAAATGCCTACTCTATTATCTCATTTGACGGTAGGCAAGTCCTGTCGATTCTCTGGGTCTCAGTTTCCTCATCTGTAAAACGGGGATGGTATGGATGTTAAAGGCACCTCTTCCTATGTGGCAGAGGCAGGCAGCGGCAAGTGTGCCTGACATCAGAGAACCAGCTACTATAAGGAAAAAGAGCAATGGGTACAATATGTACCTACTATGTGCAAGGAATAAAAAAAGCTACCATGTGTATCAGTGGTATCAAATCCAGTAGAGGAGCACCTAGGTGGCGCAGTGGATAAAATATTGGCCCTAGACTCAGGAGGATCTGAGTTCAAATCTGGTCTCGGACCAGACAACTGACATTTACTAGCTGTGTGACCTTGGGCAATTCACTTAACCCCAATTGTCTCTCCCTCCCCCAAAAAATCCAATAGAAACCAGGGCCATTAAACCACACATAAGGATCCCTGAAGATCATATATTTACTCAGGAAATTACAAATGAACATCTATGCCATACTGTATTTTTATCTATTTTGTTAAATATTTCCCAGTTAGATTTTAATCTGTTTCAGGGTGCACTTCCGGAGTTCAGTAGTGGGCTGCACATTTGACACTTCTGAGATGACACACACACACACACACACACACACACACACACACACACACACACATATATGTAGTGCTTTAAGGTTTACAAAGCACTTAACATATACTAATAGTGTTCTCTTACTATTATAGGCTCTTTCAGGTTTGCAGAACACCTCACATATGTATTCTCAACTGATCCTCATTATAACCCTATGAGGCAGCTACTTTTATCATCTCCATATTACAGATGGAGAAACTGGGTCTGAGAGATTTGCCCAGGGTCACACAGCTATCTGAGGCTGGATTTGAACTCAGGTCTTCCTGATTCTATGGGCAGCTAGCTGGTGCAGTAGATATAGTACCAAGCCTGGAGTCAGGAAGACTGATGTTCCTGAGTTCTAATCTGGCCTCAGACACTTACTAGCTGTGTGACCCTGGGCAAATCACTTCACTGTTTGCATCAGTTTCCTCATCTATGAAATGACAAACCATCTTTGTCAAGAAAACCCCCAAATGGGGTCATGGAGAGTCATACATGACTGAAAAACAGCTTCCCGATTCTAAGTCCTACGTTCCATCCACTGCACCACCTAGCTGCCTGGAGGAAGTATACTAGGACCAGGGCTTCTTAAACTTTTTCCACTCAGGACCCCTTTTGGTGTTTAGTGTTAATTGGTGTTGCACGGCCTGAGAGCATGTACAGTACAAAGTGCACAGGTTTTGTGTGCAGAACCAAGGCTGCGGTGAAATTGCACGCAGGGGCAAGAGCTGCCAGAAACACCTCAGATTCATTATGCGTTTGATTTTAAATTAATTTTTGGTTGCTGCGCATTCAGAAACCTTTTACTGTTGCCAAATTTTTCACTACCCCATATGGGGTCGAGATCCATAGTTTAAGAAGTGCTGCACTAGGCCCTATAGAGACAAAGACAGAACGAAGGGGAAAAAGAAAACAAACCACAGTTCTACCCTCCAAATACTCTAAATTCTGGTGGGCTCCCGGCCAACCTAAAAAACAGAATGACACAGCCTTTCCAAAGTGTACAGATTATCTGACTTCTCTCCCCTCTGCTACCAGATGTAATTAGATGAGGGTAAGGAAGCATCTCTCCAGCTACCATCACTGCTTCCCTGATAGATTTTCTGAAATAGAATCCAATAAGGCCTCAGTGAATCTCAAGTGCTTGGAACCCATTTAACATCTCATCTACAAGACGGAAGAGCTGCGAGGAGAGAAGGACGGCTAAGTGCGTAAGTACGTGCGAGGGGGAAAAAAATCTGTCTTGGAATTTCTTGTAGATGGTTACCTGCCAATCAACCTTTGGGAAGAATGGGCAGAGCTCCATCTTTGACAAGCTGTTCTCCTGGGGACCCCTTAGAGGATGAAAACGTGTGTGTGTGTGTGTGTGTGTGTGTGTGATTATCTCAGACCCAGGGCTTAACACGAAATATCACCCCAGATCCCCACCTAATCTCTGACCTTCTGCCAAGTGTTATGGAAACTTGGGGAAACAGAATCCATTTTCAGGGTTTCCCTTTCCTCTTCACTTAAAGACACACTAATACCTTCTCCAGTTGCCCTGATAGAAAGGGGCTAGAAAAATCCCATTATGTCTGTGGTGCTCAGGATCCAACGAATTGTCAGCAGGTTATTTTTAAAGGAGGAAGGTGGTTGAAGGGGTGGGGGAGGGGACAGCTTTTCGCAGAGCTGACAAGTCAGCCTGGCGTTTTCAGAACACCAACTTCTGTGTAAGCAATTGAGGTCTTAAGAGTCCACCTGGGATCCCTCTTTAAAATGACTGGAATGTAAAATGTCTGTATAGCCTAACAGGCTCGTTTACATTTCTGAGAGCAGACTCTCTCCAGATTTCCCCACTTTGGCAGGAGAGGGGGAAAAAAAA